ACCGGTATGTTAGCTTTGCTGATATCAAAAAATTGTTGTAATGATCGAGAACGAGGCAGTTGAAACTAATAGCCGATAAAATCTTGGCTTAATGCAAACTTAGCTTTCTCTTCTATCACGCTTCCACCAGTTAGGCTTCGAGGGTCAACCTGGTTGCTGCAGTCTGCTTAATCAGAAAATAATCTTTTATAATGAGTGCTGTCCCGCTCCTGGACAGTATTTTTTCAAAGCAGAAAAGTCAGTTAGCATTCTTCATTGCCTTGTTCAATCCCACCAGCACCAGTAATTGAATTTCAGCTACGATTTATATCGGAATATATTGAAAATGGCTTAACAAAGTATATTGTTCAAAGTTCTAGTATTTGGATTAAAGATCGAAAGGAGCAAGAGCAGTAAGTTGTGCACATTGTACTGGAAAAGCAACTCAAAAAGTTAGGGGCATTTTTTTTTGTTAATGAAAGCCGTCATTTACTCTTTTCTTTGGTTCAGGTTTCCTTTTCCTATAGTTCAAGAGTAATATTTATTGTTGTACATTATGCAAATTTCATGCAGTTTGATAATTTGCATCATTTTATGAAGTTTGATAATTTGCATAATGTACAATAAAAATAGATGGCGTCGTTCTGTCCGTAAGTATCATCGTGGCCTGGGAGTGACAATAACCATGGTGATTCGTAGCATAGTTGCATTCGAAACGACAAAATCCCTGCTAAATCCTTCTGCCAGGGCAATCCACTGAGTGGGGTCATTCTTTAGGTGAAATGAAGCGGATGTCAGGATATCTAGCGAGCTTACTACCAGGCAGCGCAGCACTGCAGTCATGGCAAATGGAAAGTTCTAAGCTATGAAACAGGAGAACCGGACTCTAAATTAAAACTGGTCCAAGTATTAAGTGATAGGAAACAAGTTGATGTCACATGCAGTACGGAGTAATCGGGGCGTTGTTCGGGAAGGTGGTGAGGAGTTATGGAAGAGTGTGGATGGAGCGAACGGACTGTCTATAAGGCCACTTGAAAAACTCAACTTGAGCAGTACTTTTCATCGAGCCGATTTTACTTCCCTTAGTCATCGGAACAGTATCCTTGGTGTTTTCCCCTTGTGAAAAATGAGGGTAGTGCAAATCGCGTTTTGCAGGAATGTAATCAAAGTGATGCCGGTGTCACCGCAATATTCGGTGCCACCAGCTGGAGGAGTGGAATTGGTTGCTATGGAGCTCAGTGATATGCCGAAAAAGCGTTTTGCTGCGCATATTCTGGCCGTCTTTGACGCCGATAACATCAGCTTACGGCAGCGATCGCTGGTAATATCAATTACTCCGCATTCAAGATCTTTAAGATGTTCCGTTGCACGCTGCAACAGTCGCGTTGCTGACGTTTGTTAGATCTAAAACCAAACGCAGACTTTTTGATGTTTGAACGGTTCATTGCTGAAGCATCGGTTACTTTGGTGCGCCTTGCTGTTTATTTTTTCATAGCATCTTGATGAAAACTTATAAAATAATAACTAGAAATAATGAAGGTACTCGTCCAACGTAAAAATGCTACTGTAGCACGCATATAATATGTTGCTAAGAGACAGATAAGGGTGGCTGAATGAGGCGAAATTAAAAAAAAAAGAGTAGGTTTTTGCACCCATGCAGTGCACTGTCACCAATGTCAGAAAAAGGGAGTGAGGATAAAATTTGCAGGATCCAATACCTGACTATATAGTGGGTGCGGTAAAACGAGATTCGCTAACTCAGTCCTCGCCACCACCATTCAGTGAATTGGTACCCGGACGTTTCTATGCAGCAAAATTGCATCCCGATTCGAACTGGGAACGCGTGCAGCTGCTTGGCCCGAGCACCGTTGATGCCGATTGCTTTCGTGTTTATGCGGTGGATATTGGCCTATACGGTATCGCGAGGAAGCCAAATATTCGTCATCTTAAAATTCCAAACGGACTGCGAAAGATTTTAATGGCAAAGTGCAAAGTAGGCTTA